CAATTATGTCATTAAAATTACGTAGTATTTACGAAACTTTTAGAGTATACACATTTATATTAACCAAAATACATAAATGTTACATAACAAAATAACACCAAAATTGCATAACAAATTCATTACGTTATTGACATAAATGATACGTCATTGTTTTGTTTCGCCGATCTATAACATATACATATATAGATTATTATGTAATTGTTTCGTAAATGATCCCTTCGTGTTTACTGGGTATCAGAGATGACAAAATATCAATTAAATTTTTTATAATTGAACAAATGATATGAACAGATTCAATTAAAATATTTTTAATTGACGATTAATTTTAGAAAGATTAAATAGATTTCGTTACAATGACGATTGATATAAACTAGATTAATCGAAGATCGTTTAATTAACAATTAATATGATCGAAGTCAATTAAAGATTATTTAATTGACAATTGATATAAACGAAATTAATCGGAGAACGATCGATTAACAATTAATACAAGCTAATTTAATTAAAAGTTTTTTAATTAACGATTGATATGAGTTAATTTTAATTAGATGTACTTTAATTGACGATTGAAAAAAACAGATTCAATCGAAGACAATTCAATTGACAATTGATTTGAGTAGAAACAATTAAAAAATATTTAATTGACGATTAAATATAGCAAATTTAATGCAAATCTCTTCCATTAATGATTGACTTAAGAAAATCGATATAATTTCTTTATTTCCATTAATTAACATGTGTAACGATTAATACAATTTAAATTTTAATCGAAGATGTTTGATTGATGATATTAATATGACTGAATTTCAATAATATATATCTTTTCCTTGGTTCTAGCAAAGTTATTGTACGTAATAGTTACAATATAAATAATAAATAATTTACGTTTTTTAAACCATATTTTTATTCAGAACATTTTCAATTCTCTCTCTCTCTCTCTCATTATACATTTTATTATATTTAATTTAATTATATTTAATGTTAATATATATTTCTCGAATTTTTTTTCATTTGTTCTAAAATAATAAATGTATAATATGTTATAATAAAATGTGTTGTACATATATATATACAATATATATTATAATTCAAAATTATTAATCAAATGTAAATATTGCAGGAAGTTTGGTAATACAACGAAGTGTAACCATACAGTTTCCTTCTGGAGAACATTTCTGCATTCAACTAGGTAACCATTTCACAATGTTTTTACATATTACATTCAAATTTTTTTATTTATTATAAATAAATTATTAGAGAGAAAGATTGAAAAATATTGAATAACATAATTAGAATACGCTGTATATAAATATTTATTTAAATGGTCTTGTTTTAAAATTGTATTATTATTTAAATGCTTAGAATGTATATATTTTGTTATTATGTATTTATTTATATATTTATATTTTTTTTATATTGAAAAGATTCATTTTTCTTTTTCCTTTTTTTAAATTAATAAATTTTATTAAATATTTGTTTGCCAATTAAACAAAAATGTAATCGTACACCAGCAATTACTTTTCAAAATATTATTTTTCTTGTGTGTGAATAGTTTCATATAATATCTGGATTGCAAATATATATTGTTAATAATAATAGTTTTGTTGCATATCTATTATGCATATAATTTGGAAATAATATAATTTAATAATTAAAAATTGCAAACAGACTAATATATTCACATATTTATATTTATTATATTATATCTGCACATATTCATATTGATGAGATAATTGTTTATTATATAAAATCATGTGCGTGATAATTAAATATTTTCTATGCAATCAAATTAATAAGGAATATAATGATTTAACATGATTATATTCTAAATCTGTTGGTGAAAACGTTACGTGTAACAAATATATACAATTAAAGTTATTAAAATTTTATTATTTTTGTAAAATATCATTTACTTTGTAGAATACTTGAAAATATTACAATTCTATTTCTTAATAATAAATTAATTAAATTTAATAAAGGAAATAAAACATTTTATCGCGTGTTCTGATATTGGACTTATTAACCATAGCGTGTAATTAAATATTATAGGTCTACGCTTATTGTGATAAAGCTATTTGATTGTTAATTGAGGGAAATATAACCTAAGAGCTTTGGGCATTCACATTCCACAGTAATCAAAGAGTTAGGATTATCAATTTTCTTTAAGGTAACGTATTGATAGTTTGTTCATTACTTGTCATAATGCAAATACAATTTGACTTTATCACTTTATAATTATTAAAAATCGTTTTAGAGTGAATCTTGTGTAACAAGCTTTTTTTGGTTTTCTTCGGAATTTTTTAAAGAACTCATAAATGTTTTGTATATGTAGAAAAATTTTATTTTAAAAAGGTAAAAAAAGTTGTTAAGTCCGCGTCAAAAACTATATCTCCAAAATCTTACAGAATCTTAAAACATATCTAAAAATTGCGCTAAGCAAAAATAAAACCTTATTAAAATATTTTAATTTAAAAAAGTTGCACAAAATAGTTGTTTTAATTTCTTATAAAAATAATGAATTTAAAATACATACTGACATTAAAACTTGGGACAAAAAAGATATAAACATTACAAACTTGCGACAAGAAGAAATAAAAAAAACATTAAAAATTTGCGAAAGAAAGTAGAACAATTTAATTTAAAAACTTAGCACTGCTAAGCTAAACAATAATTTAACAATTGTAATTGTTGTATTATACTATACAATTGAAATTTTAATTGAAGTAATATGCAATAATGACATTAGCAATGCTAAGTTTTTAAATTAATTTTTTTTGTCGCAAGTCTTTAATGTTTATATTTTTGTTATCGCAAGTTTTTAATGTCATTATATAATTTAAATACATTATTTTTCAGATATGTTTTAAGATTCTGTAAGATTTTGAAGATATAGTTTTTGACGCGGACTTAACATCTTTTTTTACCTTTTTTAAAATGAAATTTTTTGTACATATACATTTATGAGTTCTTTATAAAAAATTCCGAAGAAAACCAAAAAAAGGTTGTTACACAAGATTCACTCTAAAACGATTTTTAATAATTATAAAGTGATAAAGTCAAATTGTATTTGCATTATGACAAGTAATGAACAAACTATCAATACGTTACCTTAAAGAAAATTGATAATCCTAACTCTTTGATTACTGTGGAATGTGAATGTCCAAAGCTCTTAGGTTATATTTCCGTCAATTAACAATCAAAGAGCTTTATCACAATAAGCGTAGACCTATAATATTTAATTACACGCTATGGTTAATAAGTCCAATATCAGAACACGATAAAATGTTTTATTTCCTTTATTAAATTTAATTAATTTATTATTAAGAAATAGAATTGTAATATTTTCAAGTATTCTACAAAGTAAATGATATTTTACAAAAATAATAAAATTTTAATATAATAACTTTAATTGTATATATTTGTTACACGTAACGTTTTCACCAACAGATTTAGAATATAATTATATTAAATCATTATATTCCTTATTAATTTGATTGCATAGAAAATATTTAATTATCACGCACATGATTTTATATAATAAGCAATTATCTCATCAATATGAATATATGCAGATATAATATAATAAATATAAATATGTAAATATATTACTCTGTTTGCAATTTTTAATTATTAAATTATATTATTTCCAAATTATATGAATAATAGATATGCAACAAAACTATTATTATTAACAATATATATTTGCATTCCAGATATTATATATAAAACTATTCACACACAAGAAAAATAATATTTTGAAAAGTAATTGCTGGTGTACGATTACATTTTTGTTTAATTGGCAAACAAATATTTAATAAAATTTATTAATTTAAAAAAAGGAAAAAGAAAAATGAATCTTTTCAATATAAAAAAATAAATATATAAATAAATAGATAATAACAAAATATATATATACATTCTAAGCATTTAAATAATAATACAATTTTAAAACAAGACCATTTATATACATATTTATATACAACGTATTCTAATTATGTTATTCAATATTTTTCAATATTTTTCTCTAATAATTTATTTATAATAAATAAACACAATTTGAATGTAATATGTAAAAACATTGTGAAATGGTTACCTAGTTGAATGCAGAAATGTTCTCCAGAAGGAAACTGTATGGTTACACTTCGTTGTATTACCAAACTTCCTGCAATATTTACATTTGATTAATAATTTTGAATTATAATATATATTGTATATATGTACAACACATTTTATTATAACATATTATACATTTATTATTTTAGAACAATGAAAAAAAATTGAGAAATATATATTAACATTAAATATAATTAAATTAAATATAATAAAATGTATAATGAATTGAAAATGTTCTGAATAAAAATATGGTTTAAAAAACGTAAATTATTTATTATTTACATTGTAACTATTACGTACAATAACTTTGCTAGAATCAAGGAAAAGATATATATTATTTAAATTCAGTCATATTAATATCATCAATCAAACATCTTCGATTAAAATTTAAATTGTATTAATCGTTACACATTGTTAATTAATGGAAATAGAGAAATTATATCGATTTTCTTAAGTCAATCATTAATGGAAGAGATTCGCATTAAATTTGCTATATTTAATCGTCAATTAAATATTTTTTAATTGTTTCTGCTCAAATCAATTGTCAATTGAATTGTCTTCGATTGAATCTGTTTTTTTCAATCGTCAATTAAAGAACTTCTAATTAAAATTAACTCATATTAATCGTTAATTAAAAAACTTTTAATTAAATTAGCTTGTATTAATTGTTAGTCGATCGTTCTCCGATTAATTTCGTTTATATCAATTGTCAATTAAATAATCTTTAATTGACTTCGATCATATTAATTGTTAATTAAACGATCTTCGATTAATCTAGCTTATATCAATTTAATTAAATTAAAATTTAACTAACCTCTATGATAGTCGGCGGCCGGCGGCGACGGGGCCGGCGGCGACGGGGGGGGGCCACGGCCGGCGACGGGGCTCGGCCACGGGCTCGGCGGCGATGTGGTCGGCTTCATTCATCTGTATCTGAAATGTATAAAGAGTATTAGTTTTTTATAATAAAAAATAATAGTATTTTATAATGATAATGAAAAATAATATACTTACATCTGCCATTTCGGTGTTTGAGTATATCTGGAATTATAATAAAATGAAATAAGATCTGGATATTTCGAACACCTGATATAACGAGTCGATGCGCGTAAACAAGTTTTTATGCGCGAACGACAAGAGTAATATTAAAGTACGTCCGAAATATATCTATTGCAAAACTATATGTAAAATCATAATTATAATCATGGAATCAATAAATAAGATGCGAATATCTCAAAAATTCACGAAAAGATCCCGAAAAGTTCATAAAAATGACAATGTTCCGTCGCTTAATGCTAGTCGTTCTCGCGAAATAAATTATTAATTAATAATAAACGAACTTAATTGCTGACTACTAATTAACTGATTCTACATTTCATTATAGACGATGATGATGTTAGAACGATAGTTTACAGAATCTTATATGTATAGGACTTACCGAAGTTAGTTGCTGAGATGTCAGTCTTCTCACGACCACAAACTGATTAGACCACAGGCTGCGCGACAGGGGTGCGTAATCGTACGGCTTGTATTTAGAATAATATGCTCGATGCCACGCGTTTCACACGTGTTGTTCTTGGCCGCGTGTTCATATCATCGATGTTTTCGACAATTTTCGGTGCGACGAAATAATCGCTGCTTTAATCAGGTAATGATTTTATATTGTACGTATCAAAATATTTATTATAAATAAATTTGTGAATATGTTGATGAAGTTAATGTGTAAAGTTATAAGATAATTAATTCTTTATATATTTGGATTATAATTAAATATTAATTTTATAATAGTACAGACACACACACACACACACACACACACACACACACACACACACTCACGCGCGCTTATGTCCGTGTGTTGATACGTATATCTATATTCTTTAATTAATATTTAAATTTATATTGTACATATGCAGAATATATATGCAGGATATCACAGAATTAGTAGTAAACCTGTTAATGGAAGATTCTTGAGATAATTGGGAGACGATTTTGCTTCTAACTATATTGATATATAAATTTATAAACTATATAGTTTTTTTCAAAAATTTTGATTTTTCTCAATATTTTATATACAAAATTTTTGAAACAAGATCGACGAAAAATTAATATTTTATGAGATACTTACGTTCATGCAAAATAATGTGTTAAAGATGTAAAATACCCTGTTAAATATTCTCTTTGTGATTATCTTATTCTTACAACTTATTGTTTTAATAATTATATTATCATTATTTATTTATTTTTATTATTCCCCTTTTTTCTATATGTGTATATCTATAATTCTTATATATGTGTATATCGTCTATAATTCTTATAATTTCTTTTTTTTTAATTGCATCTTTTGCTATTTTTTATTTGTTTTCGAATTATTACCCTGTATACATATATATATATATTATATATATATATCTATTTTTCTTTATAAAATCAATAAAATCAATGTTTACAAGCAACTATTATAATAAATATATATTTATTAAAATACATCTAATATAATAATTTTGATTTAAATCGTAGCACCCTTATATAGCGCATGATGCAACACGCCTAACGCCGAACAAATATTTTGGAAAATAGTTCGTTTATATACAAACAGCAAGTGAGTAAATTTTAATCGAAGATGTTTGATTGATGATATTAATATGACTGAATTTAAATAATATATATCTTTTCCTTGGTTCTAGCAAAGTTATTGTACGTAATAGTTAAAATATAAATAATAAAATAATTTACGTTTTTTAAACCATATTTTTATTCAGAACATTTTCAATTCATTATACATTTTATTATATTTAATTTAATTATATTTCTTGTTAATATATATTTCTCGAATTTTTTTTCATTTGTTCTAAAATAATAAATGTATAATATGTTATAATAAAATGTGTTGTACATATATATAATATATATTATAATTCAAAATTATTAATCAAATGTAAATGTATAATATGTTATAATAAAATGTGTTGTACATATATATAATATATATTATAATTCAAAATTATTAATCAAATGTAAATATTGCAGGAAGTTTGGTAATACAACGAAGTGTAACCATACAGTTTCCTTCCTTCTGGAGAACATTTCTGCATTCAACTAGGTAACCGTTTCACAATGTTTTTACATATTACATTCAAATTGTGTTTATTTATTATAAATAAATTATTAGAGAGAAATATTGGAAAATATTGAATAACATAATTAGAATACGTTGTATATAAATATTTATATAAATGGTCTTGTTTTAAAATTGTATTATTATTTAAATGCTTAGAATGTATATATTTTGTTATTATGTATTTATTTATATATTTATATTTTTTTTATATTGAAAAGATTCATTTTTCTTTTTCTTTTTTTAAATTAATAAATTTTATTAAATATTTGTTTGCCAATTAAACAAAAATGTAATCGTACACCAGCAATTACTTTTCAAAATATTATTTTTCTTGTGTGTGAATAGTTCCATATTATATCTGGATTGCAAATATATATTGTTAATAATAATAGTTTTGTTGCATATCTATTATGCATATAATTTGGAAATAATATAATTTAATAATTAAAAATTGCAAACAGAATAATATATTCACATATTTATATTTATTTATATTATATCTGCACATATTCATATTGATGAGATAATTGTTTATTATATAAAATCATGTGCGTGATAATTAAATATTTTCTATGCATTCAAATTAATAAGGAATATAGTGATTTAACATGATTATATTCTAAATCTCTAAATCTGTGAAAACGTTACGTGTAACAAATATATACAATTTAAGTTATTAAAATTTTATTATTTTTGTAAAATATCATTTACTTTGTAGAATACTTGAAAATATTACAATTCTATTTCTTAATAATAAATTAATTAAATTTAATAAAGGAAATAAATCATTTTATCGTGTTCTGATATTGGACTTATTAACTATAGCGTGTAATTAAATATTATAGGTCTACGCTTATTGTGATAAAGCTCTTTGATTGTTAATTGACTGAAATATAACCTAAGAGCTTTGGACATTCACATTCCACAGTAATCATAGAGTTAGGATTATCAATTCTTTAAGGTAACGTATTGATAGTTTGTTAATTATTTGTCATATTGCAAATACAATTTGACTTTATCACTTTATAATTATTAAAAATCGTTTTAGAGTGAATCTTATGTAACAAGCTTTTTTTGGTTTTCTTCGGAATTTTTTATAAAGAACTCATAAATGTTTTTTATATGTACAAAAAATTTCATTTTAAAAAAGGTAAAAAAGATGTTAAGTCCGTCCGCGTCAAAAACTATATCTCAAAAATCTTACAGAATCTGAAAACATATCTGAAAAATAATGTTTTAAATATATAAGACATTAAAAACTTGATAAAGACGATAAAACTTGCGACAAAAAATTAAAACATTAAAGACTTGCGACAAAAAAATTAATTTAAAACTTAGCATTGCTAATGTCATTATTGCATATTACTTCAATTAAAATTTCAATTGTATAGTTTAATACAACAATTACAATTGTTAAATTGTTGTTTAGCTTAGCAGTGCTAAGTTTTTAAATTAAATTGTTCTACTTTTTTTCACAAGTTTTTAATGTTTTTTTATTTCTTTTTGTCGCAAGTTTGTAATGTTTATATCTTTTTTGTCTCAAGTTTTAATGTCAGTATGTATTTTAAATACATTATTTTTATAAGAAATTAAAACAACTATTTTGTGCAACTTTTTTATTAAAATATTTTAATAAGGTTTTATTTTTGCTTAGCGCAATTTTTATATATGTTTAAGATTCTGTAAGATTTTGGAGATATAGTTTTTGTAATAATAAAATTTTAATAACTTTAATTGTATATATTTGTTACACGTAACGTTTTCACCAACAGATTTAGAATATAATCATGTTAAATCATTATATTCCTTATTAATTTGATTGCATAGAAAATATTTAATTATCACGCACATGATTTTATATAATAAGCAATTATCTCATCAATATGAATATGTGCAGATATAATATAATAAATATAAATATGTAAATATATTACTCTGTTTGCAATTTTTAATTATTAAATTATATTATTTCCAAATTATATGAATAATAGATATGCAACAAAACTATTATTATTAACAATATATATTTGCAATCCAGATATAATATGGAACTATTCACACACAAGAAAAATAATATTTTGAAATAATTATTAAATAGAAAATTATTATTAATAAATATTTAATAAGTAATTATTAACTTATATTATTTCCAAATTATATGCATAATAGATATGCAACAAAACTATTATTATTAACAATATATTTGCAATCCAGCATAATTAATTGATACTTATCATTATGATAATCTCATTATTCTTTGTGACATGATCTCAACATGAGAAAATTTAATTCTATATTAACACAGATGTTACCGTCAATTTCATCAACTTTAAACTTTCCTGACTGAAATTTGAATGCGAGATAGATAGAGAATCGTACACCGCGTAACGGTTAAAGAAGAAACTAGCAATTATTGCATAACTGTGACGTATCGTTTATGTCAATAACGTAATGAATCTATGTATTGTTAATAAAATTGTTATGTAATTTTGGCGTTACACTATTATATATATGTATTTATGTATTTTGGTTAATGTAAATGTGTATACTCTAATAGTTTCGTAAATAATACGTAATTTTAATGACATAATTGTAACGTTATGTTAAATACGTAACGTTTATGTATTTTGGTTAATGTAAATGTATATACTCTAAAGTTTCGTAAATACTACGTAATTTTAATGACATAATTGTAACGTTATGTTAAATACGTAACATTTATGTATTTTGGTTAATGTAAATGTGTATATCCTAAAAGTTTCGTAAATGCTACATAATTCTAATAACTAATTGTAACGTTATATTAAATACGTAACATTATTTTGTTGACATCAATGTATACATTCTGTAAAAACTTTATTATAATCATTACATACAGTATAATAACAAAATTGCGATATTTTTTTTTATTAATGTGACATCGCAATTTCGTTATTATAATTATATAATAGTTATAATAAGGTTCTTACAGAATATATACATTGATATCAACAAAATAATATTAATGTTACTTATTTAACATAACGTTACAATTATGTCATTAAAATTACGTAGTATTTACGAAACTTTTAGAGTATACACATTTACATTAACCAAAATACATAAATGTTACATAACAAAGTAACACCAAAATAGCATAACAAATTCATTACGTTATTGACATAAATGATACGTCATTGTTTTGTTTCGCCGATCTATAACATATACATATATAGATTATTATGTAATTGTTTCGTAAATGATCGTGTTTACTGAGTATCAGAGATGGCAAAATATCAATTAAATTTTTTATAATTAAACAAATGATATGAACAGATTTAATTAAAATATTTTTAATTGACGATTAATTTTCGAAAGATTAAATAGATTTCGTTACAATGACGATTGATATAAATTAGATTAATCGAAGATCGTTTAATTAACAATTAATATGATCGAAGTCAATTAAAGATTATTTAATTGACAATTGATATAAACGAAATTAATCGGAGAACGATCGATTAACAATTAATACAAGCTAATTTAATTAAA